TTTTATCAGCACTTTCGGCAAATTATGGAAACAAAACGATGCATAGTCGATTGACCCGTTGGGTAAACAGACTTTTACCATTCAATTTTAAAATTTCACATTTACCAGGAAAGGACATGGGCTTTACAGACCTTTTATCTAGACTTCCTTCGGACAAAGTCCTTCCAATTTCCCATTATGACGACGAATTTGTAGTCGCTTCAATCGGCAAAATTCAGAACAAAATTCTAAAATAGTTACTGCAAAATTCTGTAGATAGACCAACGGTCGCAGTAAATACTAATACGCGAGTTAATACAATCCCGTCGGGAAACGAATATTCAAGCGACGTGATTGGTCAGAATCGGTTGAATAGCTCTTAAGCTTTACTTAATCTCAAGATTATTGCTGCTATCATATCTTGTATCGCTCAGTCGATAAAAATTTGCCACAATCAACACTCTAGGACAGAAAATTGCACTACAATTTGCCAACCTGTCGATAATTCGAAATTTAATTTTAAAAGTATTACCTTTACGGACAAAGTCCTTCTACATTTTTTATTACTAAACAGACACTTCATACCATTTAGCAAGAAACAATCAGATCTCCCAATGGACAAAGTGAACGAACCTCTCTTGATCATCCCGGAAGAACATAATATCGCCCTCAAATTCAGAGACGACCGACTTCACCCGACCACGCAGACCTCGTAAGAAGATACAAGGCCGACTTGAATTTACCAAATTCCCCAACTCGCCCGGAAAATCACTGTTCGAAGAAATTGCTTCAGATCATGACCAGAGAAGACAAGGTGCTGTGGGATTTGAAAGAGACGATAAAGAGGAATCGACCTTTGGGCATACACGGAACTTACATGAAGAACTATGCCAAAGATCTTCACGTGAAGGATGAGCTACTCTTCTTAGACAATAAATTAGTCGTCCCAGCTACCATCAGGGGAACTTTAATTCGATGCTACACGAGACTCATCCAGGACAGTTTGGGATGAAATCTCTCGCCGAATATTTGTGGTGGCCGCACATCTACCGGGAAATTTACCATCACGGGAGAACATGTAGCCAATGTCTAAAAGCTGGTAAGAACATTAAAGTGTTACTAGGCTCCCAGAATATTTCGAAACTCCCGACGTTGACATTCGCGAACGAAGAAATTAACTTGGACTTTGCGGGACCGTTGGACGCGTGCTGGTCTAACAATAAATGCATCCTTCTTTGCATCGACCGTTACACAAAGTTTCCTTCGGCCAAGATAGTTAACAACACCTCTACAAGAAACGTAATTTCATTTTTAAACGATTACTGTCACCTACACGGATTCCCAAGGAAAATTAGAGTCGACCATGGGTCATGCTTCTTATCACAAGATTTAAAAAACTTCTGCGATAAATTTAATATAAATTATTTACTGCACAGTCGGAGACCACAGATCCAATGTGCTAGTGGAAAGATTAGTGTACACAATTAAATCGAAATTACTGGCAATGTCCTTCGAATCACCCAAGCCGTCTCTAAACGAATCGATCGAGAAAATCATCTGGAATTTGAGAATCTCAAAACAATCTGCGATTGGCTGTACACCTTTTGAAAAGCATTTTAAATGAGTAGCGAACACTAGGTGGAAAAATCTTATGTCCAATATTGACCATTTAGATAAAAGGAAGACTATAATGTCCAAAGATCGGGCCACGAACTGGGAACTCCACGACGGGGCAGAAGATGGTTATCTGGACGAGGAAAAAGACAGCACGTCGGATCCAGAAGAAAACATGCCACTATCTAGGACTTTCAACCTACACACAACCCCGGACGTCACTATTCGATCTTCAGAACCTCTGGCAAAAAGAAAAGCAGTAATGGGAGGTAACTTATATAATAAGGTATCTAACAGGAAAAATAGGGACCCATATTTTAATCTGGTTAAGAAGGATATTATCGATTCTTCAGAGCACACCGTTACTCTTGACAACGGTCTCGTTTTACGTAAATCGGATCTGGCTATAAAAGGAAAAATACTCCCTGGGACCAAAAAGATAATAGTGAATCAGACACCCATTGGTCATAATCTTCACACTGATTCGAGTTTAGCTGGGAAAAGGAAACTCTCCCCACCGAAGAAAGCTGTATCGACACCCGCTGGACACTCGGGTCAAGGCACCTCAAGAACGGCTAACACCAGAGTAGGGACTAGTGCACCGACCGTGAGCACAGCCACTCAAGACTCTCCAAGATTTTCTTCAGGTTCATCTTCTTCCTTAAATCTAGATTCGTGGGACGGGATAATCGAGGATTACTTTGACGATGTGACCAATAATAACGTATCTCAAAACCCTCATACCGAGTCTAATCAGGGCTTAAGTATTACAGGTCCTGTCGAATCTCCACAACAGAGCTCAGAAAGGCCAGCGAACAACGACCCCCGGGAGATTGTTGTAATCCACGACGCGACCACGACAGAAGGATCACAAGACAACCCAATACTAGTAGACAGTATTCCGGAACAGATGAACAGCGCGACTCTAAAGCCCCGAAATTCTAGACCACGCAGAAATGTGGGCCCCCCACAGTTTTACGGAAATCGCAGATTTATAGACGTGGTGCTAGAGAAAGACGACCTAGGGGCGTCACCTTCTGTATTCTCTCCGGCACCGGACTCCCATAGGACTACTTTCACGGTCACCTCTCCATCCGGTGTTTTGACTCCACTAGCGGAGGCGCCTCCCAGACATATTCTCGTTGCGGAAACGACGTTGTCCTGGTCTTCAAGGAACTCCCTCCCGTCGGTCAGACCAGCAACCTCTACTATGAAGACTCATCTTCACGAGAATTCTTCGGACTCAAATACAACTTACCCGATCATGAAGGACCCCACGCTCGAGGTGGACAACTATAGCGAGATCTCATCGACTATAGGTTCGGAAGTGATGGCTAAATTGGATGAGTTTGACGATCAATTCAATTAATCTACATATCAATTTAAACTGAACAAAACAATTCTTTGATCCATATCTTACCGCCGGACTTTTTAATTTTACCTGTAGATACAATTGTACATGTTAATGTACATGTTGTGGATTAGTTTTATTTAGTTAGTTACTGTATACTGTAAATTTTGTAATTCTGTATAGTCACCCTGTACATTTGTACATTCTCTTTCAATTGTGGATCCTATTTTGCTTCTGTATATTTACCTTCTGGGTGCAGTTTGTAAAATTTTTCCATTTTCGGAGGGGGAAAAAGGTTGTATATAGAGTTATGTAGTTAGTTTGCAGTTTCATTTTTTTCCCGGTGGGAGATGTTGTGATTTATTTTTAGTATCCTTAAATGACCTTCGGTATTTTAATTGATACCTGTTAAACATCTTAGTTACGACCATTGGTCGATATGAACGGAAGTTCAGTTGTCCTTTTAACGTTCTTAATTCAACTACTTCCTTTTTACCGTTTTATCCTTTTTAGCTTATGTACATACATTGTACATATAGAACCATAGAATTAGAATAGTTCATTTAAGTGCAACACCGCCTCGGTGCAAGTTATAGAATTCATTGTAGAATGAAAAATCGTCTGTTGATTCATTTTTCAATTGCGCCTGTTTTCTGAATAAAGTGTTGGTCATAAATTATTCTTGAATTAGAGAGCTTCAACGTGTTATAGTTTTCGTCGAAGTTCAAAAGTTTCAAAAACTCTTTTTTTTTATTTTACTTGGGTTCATTGAGACTTAAGCAATGGTGCGTGTGCTTTTTTAAAATCAACGGGGTGAGCATTTCAATGTGAAGCTTGCGTGTGAAATGTTTTTGCATTATGTAAACATCACGAATTATATCCCTTTAGTTACAGGGATTCATTGCTATCTGATATTTATCAGATGATGGTGGGTTGGTTTCGGCAGAGTCTCAAGTTTTATAAGGCTAATTTCCGGCTTATTTCTGTATTTTCCTGGATTTTACAGCTCCTTTCTGCTTTTTTTTTTGCTTGAGCATGCGAAGTTCGAAGTCGCCTCTGTGTATCTTTTGAAATTCCCAGTTGCCTATGATATTCACTTACCGACCCAGTTTTTGCTAATTGGGTTCTTTTCATTTGAAAAAGTGTCAATCCGTTTCTAAAAAATTAACGAGCTAAAATGTGATGCTAAATCCAAAAAGTTTACTTATTAGTGGAGTCAATGAATAAGCAGAATTATGAATGAACTGAAAATGAGCGCAGTATCTGTAAGTCAGCCGTCAGAACTGAAAATTGAATCATTTTACGCAACTTTAAATAATCATCTTGTAAATTCTGTTTTTTTTTTGTTGGTTTTATGGAAGTTGATTTATAAACGGCCACAGTGAATCGATTATTTATCGCATGTTTGTTATTTCTTTGTTCTCTCATTGGTTTCGTGGGCTGTTTGGCATTAGCGCACTGATTTTGAATGTAATCATGGGCACTGTCGATACTGAAAAAGAATGCTGACTTTACAGTAATATTAGCTATTCCTTAATGGTCTGACGATATTTATCTGTGATTTTTGATAGATGCATATTTTTCTGTTTATTAGTTCTGATCGATTTGGGGGCCTTCCTTGGCACGGATGCATGGATTCTACAGTTAGAGCAAAATTAGATCTGTTTATCAACCCCCCTAACAGAATGGGTTAAATTGTTTAGTACAGATAGAACATTGTTCTCATAACTGATGAAATTGCTCTCTCTAGGAGGTGGATATCAGGTATCATTAGTACCAGGATCATTAAGCAATCCACGAAATGTTCGACTGGTCAAAATGCTGGTTGAAATTTTATATAGTGAGGTGGTTATTTTATGCTCTCCGTAAAATTAGCTTGCTTCTGTCTAAGTTGTGTATCAAATGTTTAGATCTTCTTGCAGATCTTAAGTTCCTGAATCTGTTCTTTTCACCAAATGTTGAAGAGTTTTTATTGTTGTTTTTGGCGCTTTTTTGCATAATGAAGTTACAACTCACAATTTTTTCAATCCTCGATTATAATAGAGTTTTTGTCCAGGTGTTTCCGCGTCTGTTTCACTCCAATGACAATGGAGGATCTCTGAATGAGAATGGCCAATCAGATTGCAGCATTGCAGATAAATCGAACCTATCAGAAGAGCGAGAAAGGGAACTGAATGTTGGTACAATAACTGCTAAATGCAATGAGACCTCATCTGGAACGTCTCCGAAGCGAAGGCCATTTGAAAAGTACATTCTGAGTGTAAGTCTGAGCAATCCGATTGGAGAATTGGTCTCGTCTTCGAAACTGTTTGCCGAGTCAATCGGCAAAAATGAAAACAGTAGTGAACGAAAATCGGAAAAGTTAGCGAAAAGTAGCTCGGAAGGCGACGCTGACGCAAAACTTAACGAAGCAATGGCTGCCGCAGCAGCAGCTAAAGAAAAAAAATTAGGTGATATATCAGATATAAGGTGTTACGTTTTCTACTGCAATTCGCGAAATTCGTTTTTTACTGCAAGGCACGAAAAATATATCTTATCGAACCTTTTGGTATGGCATACAAAATTTTTAATAACAAATAAACCAAACACTGTAATGAAGGAAAAGTTGCTTCAATTTTTCTGGTCAAGTTTTAGATATTTTTACGTTGCTGCAGTTCTGTATACTTTTACGTGATAGACGCGTTATGAATTTGCAATTTGATTTTTATAAAGTAGCACCTTATGTCTAATATGTCCTCTGATTAATTAGTGGAGAGCCGAGACTTCGTCTTCCGAATAATCCACCAGCACGGGAACTTCTCGCCTGTTAGTGTGTATTCAGGGAGTGCTGCAAACGAGACTGCATCCAGCATGACTACGGCGGCATCTTCATCGGGCGGAGAGGCGCCACTATTCGTGTCATCCATAATCTCACACTTCAGTTTCAGCCACAGTGCGATTATGAGACAGAAAAACTTACTGGTTACTTTTTTATTTACTTCTTACCAAGGGCGTAAGCATATAAGCCGAAGTGTATAAAAATATATTAAAATAGTAATTAAATAAGATATGCTAAGAGTAATGTAAGTAGTGAATACTCTGAAATAGGTCATGGTGATTTTTTTTGCTTATTTTTTTCTCAGAAATTTGATTTTCTGCGGTTAGACTTTTGATTTCTTTTTACGTTCCATTCCGTTCATTTGTTGAAATGAAGCCAAACTCCACTATTGAACAGCAAAAGTTTAAAGGACACTACAAAACGTGATTATCTTCTAGTTTCGAAAGTGGAATTCATTTTTCAGATTTCCCAGTGGAATTAAAAAATTAACTATTGTTCTTGAAATTCAAAGAGCTTTAAGGGCATTTTTTCGTTGAAATTCAAAAATTCCTTGCGTTAAAGTCTGCTTTTCAATTAACTGTTGGCTATGTTTTATATGTAGGAGAAGAATATATTTTTGGCAAGAATTTCAATTGACGATTTTATTAACTGTGTTTCATTCCAAAACATGATTTAATTTTTTTAACTCGATTTGATTGATTCTTTTCCTTTTTGTTGGCTATGTTTTCATTATGAACAAGGGGGATCTCAAAGTAGAAAAATTTTCTTTCGTTATACGTGATATGTTAAAGATTTCAATTACGTTTTTTGTACACCAACTGAGTGGTAGGTTAGAATTTTACTTTGAGTTGCCTTTTTCAAGATACAGCAAGGAATTGAATTTTCACTTATTTAAGTCCTGTGGTTTTTCTTTCAATTTTGTTTTGGCGGTTTGAGTTCGCGCAGAATTATGGTTTGGCTTAATGTGTTAAAAGTTGAATTTTAGCTTAATGTAGAGACGTGATAGATATCAAATCGACTGAAATCATGTATTTGTTTTGTATTTCTTATTTTAGCGAGAAGCAGCGAACATGACTGTTGAAAAGGAGCCCAGGCCCAAATTGCAACATCAGCCAGTAGATATAGGTAAGGACTCATTTCTGATCTTTTTTTTTCTTCATTATTTCATCATCAGCAATGAACTAAAGTAATTAAGACTTCGTCTTGGTTCGAATTGAACTGACACCTTTCTGATGTAATCAAATTTGCTGATTCAGTAGAACAAAAAGTTAGCTGATGATTCAATTATACCAAGCAAATTTGTGGTTCACCTTGGTGATGAAAGGCATGAATTTTACATCTAAAAGAATTTCTGTTACATTTGATTTTAAAGAGCAGTAGTCTGCGACTGCTGACGCAGTGTTGCCTTAACATTGTTCGCTAGGGCTGCAAACAAATTTCTTTTTGTTCTATTTTAAAGCGCGAGACATTTTTTAATCATTCAATTTTAAAATAGCCTGGTGGTTTTGCAATAAAATTATCTGGAAGCTATCCCCAATCAATAGTTTACAAACATGTTGGAAATTAAGTACTCTTTGCTTCATGATAATTGCAATAAACAGCTTTTTCTGATTCAATGTTAGCATTAATTGCTATAATTGCAGTAAGATATCCTGGAAGCTGTCCATTAACAAGTTTATGCACCAATCTGGAAAACAAACACCTTTTATTTTTGTCAGAAGCAATTAACAGCTTTTAATGATTCAATGTTAACATTGAATGCTGTTATTGCAATACAATCTTCTGGACGCTATCCATAATCAGTGGTTTTTGGACGAATTCGGAAAATATTTTCTTTTTATGCAATGTTAATAGTTCAGCTTTTACTCTTTCAGTGTTGCTCTCGGCTGCTGGTTTTGCAATAATTTTATCTGCACGCTACCCTTAATAAGTTGCTTACGAATGTGTTGGAATTAAAAGACTTTTTTTATGATAAGTGCAATAAACAGTTTTTCCTGATTCAATGCTACCATTGATCGCTATATTGCAATAAGCTCTTCTGGACGCTATCCATAAACAATAATTTATGGACGAATCTAGAAAACAAAGTTTTTCTTTTTCACAGAAGCTATTAACAGCTTCTAATGATTCAATGTTAGCATTCAATACTGTTATTGCAATAAAATCTACTGGAAGCTATCCATGATCAGTAGTTTTTAACCAAATTCTGAAAATATTTTTTCTTGTGCAATGTTAATAGTTCAGCTTTTACTCTTTCAGCGTTGCTCTCGGCTGCTGGTTTTGCAATAGTTTTATCTGCACGCTACCCTTAGTAAGTTGCTTACGAATGTGTTGGAATTAAAAGACTTTTGTTTTATGATAAGTGCAATAAACAGCTTTTCCTGATTCAATGCTACCATTGATCGCTATATTGCAATAAGATCTGTACGCTATCCATAAACAATAGTTTATGGACGAATCTGGAAAACAAACACTTTTATTGTCAGAAGCATTTAACAGATTTTAAAGATTCAATGTTAACATTGAAATCTGTTATTGCAATACAATCTTCTGGACGCTATCCATCATCCGTAGTATTTGGACGAATTCGGAAAATAATTCCTTTATATTCAATTTTAATAGTACTAGACAGCTTTTAGTCTTTCAAAGTTACACGTGGTTGCTGGTTTTTCAATAAATTTATCTGAACACTATCCTTAATCAGTTGTTTACGAGTGTGTTGGATTTAGAGGACTTTTCTGATAATAAGTGCAATAAAAAGCTTTTCCGGATTAAATGTAACCATTGATTGCTATTATTGCAATAAGATCTTCTGGACGCTATCCATAAACAATAGTTTTTGGACGAATCTGGAAAACAAACGTTTTTTTTTAAACAGAAGCTATTAACAGCTTCTAATGATTCATTGTAAGCATTCAATACTGTAATTGCAATACAATCTTCTGGACGATATCCATCATCAGTAGCATTTGGACGAATTCGGAAAATAATTCCTTTTTATTCAATGTTAATAGTACTAGACAGCTTTTAGTATTTCAAAGTTTTACGTGGTTGCTGGTTTTTCAATAAATTTATCCGAACACTATACTTAATCAGTTGTTTACGAATGCGTTGGATTTAGAAGACTTCTGTTTTTTGATAAGTGCAATAAACAGCTTTTCCTGATTCAATGTTACCATTGATAGCTATTATTGCAATAAGATCTTCTGGACGCTATCGATAAACAATAGTTTTTGGACGAATCTGGAAAACAAATGTTTTTCCTTTTAACAGAAGCTATTAACATTTTCTAATGATTCAATGTTAGCATTCTATACTGTTATTGCAATAAAGTCTTCTGGACGCTATCCATGATCAGTAGATTTTAGACGAAATCTGAAAATAATTTTTTTATGCAATGTTAATAAATCAGCTTTCACTTTTTCAGTGTTGCGCTCGGCTGCTGGTTTTGCAATAATTCTATCTGCACGCTACCCTTAATAAGTTGGTTAGGAATGTGTTGAAATTAAAAGACTTTTGTTTTATCATAAGTGCAATAAATAGCTTTTCCTGATTCAATGTTACCATGATTGCTATTGTTGCCATAAGATCTTCTGTACGCTATCCATAAACACTGGTTTATGGGCGAATCTGGAAAACAAACACTTTTTATTTTTGTCAGAAGCATTTAACAGATTTTAAAGATTCAATGTTAACATTGAAAGCTGTTATTGCAATACAATCTTCTGGACGCTATCCATCATCAGTAGTATTTGGACGAATTCGGAAAATACTTCCTTTTTATTCAATGTTAATAGTACTAGACAGCTTTTAGTCATTCAAAGTTACACGTGGTTGCTGGTTTTTCAATAAATTTATCTGAACACTATCCTTAATCAGTTGTTTACGAATGTGTTGGATTTAGAAGAGTTTTTTTTGATGATAAATGCAATAAACGGTTTCTCCCGATTCAATGTTACCATTGGTTGCTTTTATTGCAATAAGATTTACTGGACGCTATCCATAAGCAATAGTTTATGGACGAATCTGGAAAGCAAACACCTTTTAGTTTTGTCAGAAGCATTTAACCGATTTTAAAGATTTAATGTCAACATGAAAGGCTGTTATTGCAATACTATCATCTGGACGCTATCCATCATCAGTAGTTTTTGGACGAAATCGGAAAATACTACGGATTCATGTTAATAATTGAGCTTTTACTCTTTCAGTATAAAGCTCGGCTGCTGGTTTTGCAATAATTTTATCTGCACGCTACCCTTAATAAGTTGCTTACCAATGTGTTGGATTTAGAAGAGTTTTTTTGATGATAAGTGCAATAAACGGTTTTTCCCGATTCAATTTTACAATTGGTTGCTTTTATTACAATAAGATTTACTGGACGCTATCCATAAGCAATAGTTTATGGACGAATCTGGAAAGCAAACACCTTTTAGTTTTGTCAGAAGAATTTAACCGATTTTAAAGATTTAATGTCAACTCGAAAGGCTGTTATTGCAATACTATCATCTGGACGCTATCCATCATCAGTAGTTTTTGGACGAAATCGGAAAATATTACGGATTCATGTTAATAATTGAGCTTTTACTCTTTCAGTATAAAGCTCGGCTGCTGGTTTTGCAATAATTTTATCTGCACGCTACCCTTAATAAGTTGCTTACCAATGTGTTGGAATTAAAAGAATTTTGTTTTATGATAAGTGCAATAAACAGCTTTTCCTGATTCAATGTTACCATTGATTGCTATTATTGCAATAAGATCTTCTGGACGCATGATCAATAGTTTATGGACGAATCTGGAAAACAAACACCTTTTTTGTCAGATGCATTTAACAGATTTTAAAGATTTAATGTTAATATGGAAGGCTGTTATTGCAATACAATCTTCTGAACGCTATCCATCATCAGTAGTATTTGGACGAGTTCGGAAAATAAATCCTTTTTATTCAATGTTTATAGTACTAGACAGCTTTTTGTCTTTCAAACTTACACGTGGTTGCTGGTTTTTCCATAAATTTATCTGCACGCTACCCTTAATAAGTTGGTTACGAATGTGTTGGTATTAAAAGACTTTTGTTTTATGATAAGTGCAATAAACAGCTTTTCCTGATTCAATGTAACCATTGATTGCTATTTTTGCAATAAGATCTTCTGGACGCTATCCATAAACACTGTTTTATGGACGAATCTGGAAAACAAACACTTTATATTTTTGTCAGAAGCATTTAACAGATTTTAAAGATTCAATGTTAACATTGAAAGCTGTTATTGCAATACAATCTTCTGGACGCTATCCATCATCAGTAGTATTTGGACGAATTCGGAAAATACTTCCTTTTTATTCAATGTTTATAGTACTAGACAGCTTTTAGTCATTCAAAGTTAAACGTGGTTGCTGGTTTTTTCATTTAATTTATCTGAACACTATCCTTAATCAGTTGTTTACGAATGTGTTGGATTTAGAAGAGTTTTTTGATGATAAGTGCAATAAACAGCTTTTCCCTATTCAATGTCACCATTGATTGCTATTATTGCAATAAGATCTTCTGGACGCTATCCATAAACAATAGTTTATGGACGAATCTAGAAAACAAAAGTTTTTCCTTTTAACATAAGCTATTAACATTTTCTAATGATTCAATGTTAGCATTCTATACTGTTATTGCAATAAAGTCTTCTGGACGCTATCCATGATCAGTAGATTTTGGACAAATTCTGAATTTTTTTATGCAATGTTAATAAATCAGCTTTTACTCTTTCAGTGTTGCGCTCGGCTGCTGGTTTTGCAATAATTTTATCTGCACGCTGCCCTTAATAAGTTGGTTACGAATGTGTTGGTATTAAAATACTTTTGTTTTATGATAAGTGCAATAAACAGCTTTTCCTGATTCAATGTTACCATTGATTGCTATTATTGCCATAAGATCTTCTGGACGCTATCCATAAACACTGGTTTATGGACGAATCTGGAAAACAAACACTTTATATTTTGTCAGAAGCATTTAACAGATTTTAAAGATTCAATGTTAACATTGAAAGCTGTTATTGCAATACAATCTTCTGGACGCTATCCATCATCAGTAGTATTTGGACGAATTCGGAAAATACTGCCTTTTTATTCAAGGTTAA